AAGGATACAACGTTTATGGGTGGGATTAAAAAAATATTACAAAAAGCCTTATTTACTCCTTAAATAGCAGATACATTTTATTTTTGCAACCTGTACAACGGAAACAATACCATCGAAATTTTTCAGTATTTTTTTGAGCAGTGCGACTCAAAGTCGGACCCATTACAAAATGAACATTCATGCATATTTTTCAATACGTTGCGACATGGCTATTGAAACTTTAAAAACAGATTAAAAAATTATTGAGGCTGTCACTCAATTGAGAAGCCAAAATGGAGGATGAAATTAGGCTTAAAGATATTTTTCTCAAAAGAAACCAAGTTCTTGCACTGAATAATATAAATGAAGTTACGTAATGACTAATCATTGATTTTTATAATTGACTATCCAAAACAGGCAAAAGGGATGTTTGACCGTGGATATATTTCATTTTTTTGAGATGTCTAGAACACGTAAATCTAAAGCACCCCTTAGCGTCAGTCTGTTTGTCAAATATCTGTATATTGGCGTTATTTTAGTTTTGTAATTTCAAAAATGGCTGATCCATTTGGATTATTTTTGTGGAGCAGCATGCGGTGGGGTTGCAGGAGGGAATTATATTTCTAACCGTTTGAATAGCGGCGGTACGAGTATTATGATCAAAAAACAAAACAGTTAACAAAGTGTGATTTTGTACAAAACCTTATCCAAATTTTGGGGAGAACTTAAAAAGATTTTTGGAGAGGTTACAATTTTGATAAATTACAGTTAGAGCGTAGTCAGAAGGATTATAATATGAAGAAGAAAAAATTGCTTTCTACAGCAAGGCGTATTTACGGCTTACATAATACACGATGTTCCAAAAGTCATGGAGAAAACGAAAGGTGGTAATATGAACAGTGGCATTTGCTATCAGAAAAACCATGAGTTTGAGTTAAAGCCATTTTTAAGAATTTGTGGAAAATAGCTACTTTTGAAACTGTACTATTTTTTCTGTTGCTAACTTTTGTTATTTTTCAGATTTACAGGATATGTTCCCATATGATGTGTCGATAGACAAAAATTGCATGGAAATTTAGTCCAGTTAGTGTAGGTACAGCAAGCTGCTAATCAACAATTTTGTCTGTTGTCAATAAGATTGCAGCGTATTCATCGAGGCCTGTACAAATGCATTAAAAGACAGATAAAGTGTGAGTAGTGATGAAAAACTTCTTAATATTATATTCTTTCAGAATACCTAAAAAGCTTTTTTGCAAAGTAGACAAAATCCTGCAGATGCATTTTTTACACTTAGGTTAAAAAATGGGAATTTCCGGATTTAGGGTACTTTGCACGAAAACAATGGTTTTCATTACTTTGAACACTTTATCCGCCTACTAATTTTTTGTACAGGCTTCGTTCAATATATAGTTATTTTTACAACAGACAAAATTGCAGATTAGCCGATTGCTGTACCCACATTAGCTGAACTAAATTTTTACTCATAGTTTTTTTTTCAGCTATACATCATTTGGAAACATATCCTGATAATCTGATTGAAAAATAATGAAAGAGAACTTCAGAAAAAATAGTACAGTCTCAAAAGTAGCGATTCTCCACAATTTCTTAAATATAGCGATAACTCGAAAACTGTCCACAATCGGATACCGACATACATGGTTTTTTAAATTGCAAGTGGCCGCCCCTATCACATCCTTTCATTTGCTCCATGACTTTTGGGACAACCTGTATGAATAATGATATCCAACCGGGACCTTTCTCTCAAGCATTTTCTGTGTCTAAGCATGTAAGATTGGAAATATGCACATAAGAATATGTGGGAAGTATCGAGTCAATCTACACTTGACACTATTTTTTTGGAAAACTTTTTTACTAAATCGTCCATGGATAAAAACAGCTAGTATTTCGAGGTTTTCTGCCTCTGATGGCAGTGCCAGGTTATAGTCATAGTTGTCTCATGCTTCTTCCAGTATTTGCAGCGTGTGCTTGAATACTGCAGGATCCACGAACACCGAATTTAACGACTGAGTATAGCTGTGCGGTCTAAGGATTTAACGTGAAAGAATCTATAGTTTGGGGGGCGTAAAGATTTCTGGGATTGTGGATAACATTTCACGCATTTTTCTTCTACGGACTCCCTCCACACAATAGCTACCGCTACGTCCGTGGTCACGACAAGTAATAGTTCACCTAAAAAGTAGCGTCTTTGGCAAAAGCCTCCTCTTATACAGGGTGTCCAATAAGTACCACGACAAACTTAAGGAGAAGGTAGGCTTTGGATTGACCTCCCAAATAACAAAAACTTACCTATATAAAGGTGGCACCGTTTTTGAGATATTGAATTTTTTCTTAAATTTTGAAAAAACGAATATTTTCATCTGTGGTCTGTAGCTGCATATACGAATAAGGTTATGCTTTGTTCACTTTTTTTCTATAAAATACTTCTAGATAGTTGCTTTATCATATACAAATACAAATGTACTTAAAAGATATTAAGGAACCATGATCAAATAAGGACTATTTTGGGATTTATAACCTTTTTTTTTATCAACTTTGACCATCTGTGGTGAAACAAAAATGTACTGGGCTATAACTGCATTATATTGAATAAAAAGGTTGCTCATTCAATACAGATTTCAGAAAGGCAGCACACGTACTATTTGGAAAAGAAAAAAATGATAGCTGCTTTTGTAAGTGACTGACACACACTACAACGTAATTATTGGATTTAAATTCAAATTGCACTGGTTATACCGATCAGTGACATGCTAAATACTACAAAAATCAATATCAGATTCTAAATCACAAAATAGTCCTTATTTTATCAGGGTTCCTTAATATCTTTCAACTACATTGCATTTGTATATAATAATAATATCGTCTTTATTTACAAAGATACAGAGTGCGATTCATTATGGCGAAGTTTAGCTAAAGCTACTCTTACACTTAACCATATGAATACGAAAAAAAAAAGAAGAAGGAGAGACAAAAGAAAAATAAAGTTTGGCTAGTACAATGTCATAATAGTATTGAAAGCAGTTCAATCAAACAAGCAACTAATTTAAATGCCTACAAGCATATGTGCCCATAAACTAACTTATAAATGTATTATTAGCAAAAATTAGACAAAGAAGAAACATTATAATGTAGAGCTCTGTAAATATAACCTAACATGCTTACGGAAACAAGACAGATTCATGGTTTTGTAATCATCAGGAATATTATTGTAGCGACTAGCAGCATTATAGGAAAATGAGCGTTGGAAAAGCGAGGTGACGTAATGGGGTATTCTAATATTTAATGTATATCTAAGAGTTTTGTTATGTATTTCATTAGAAAAAATAAGTTTTTCTCTTAGGTATTTGGGTTTACCAGATGCGAGCAGTTTATGCAGGAAGACCAAATAATGAAAATTTGTCAAACGCTCGAGCTTCATCCATCCAATACTGTTGTAAGCATGGCTAACATGGTCGTATTTTCTTAAACTACACGTGAGGCAGTTGTTTTGAATCACTTATAAACGTCTTTTAGTGAGCTGATCCAAGCAAGGCTGGTAAAGAATATTGCAATAATCGATAATTTGAAGAATAAGGGATTCAACAAGTTTTTTTCGCAAAGCAGAAGGCAGAACACGTCTATTTGCATATAAAACACGTAATTTTCAATAGGATTTTTGTAATATGCTAGAAACATGACTTTTGAATCTTAAGTTAATAACTAAAATGACACCAAGTATTTTAGACTCATTACTAAATTCTACTCCATGTGATCCAATTTTGGGATGAAATGTTTGGAGGATGCGCTCACGTTTAGTATTAGAGCAGAATAACATGATTTTGGATTTAGAGGAATTCATCATCAAATTTTGCTTTATAGAATAGTTATAAGCTACATCAATATCCTCTTGTAACTCGACGGCTGCTTGTTGATCATGTGGATCAAAATGATAGAGCAACTGGGTATCGTCTGCGAATGACTATATTGTAGAGTTATCTACTACAGAAGGCAAGTCTGCAATATATATTAGAAATAACAAGGGTGCCAAAACAGATCCTTGTGGTACACCAGATATGATGTTGGTAGAGTTAGAAAAAGTATTATTAATGACAACACATTGGGACCGATTAGCTAAGTATTCCGTGAAAAACGATATAGATATATTATCAAAACCTAAATACTCCAATTTAGCAAGAAGCAGCTGATGACTCAGTTTGTCGAATGCTTTAGAGTAATCGATACAGATCAAAATTGACCCAATACTTTTATCTTGAGCCCGTATTATATTATCTGTTATATTAAGCAGAGCGGTAGTAGTAGAGTAAGATTTGCGGAAGCCCTATTGATGTTCTGGCAATATTCTGCATAATTCAACATACTCGATTATTTGTTGCTGAACTAATTTCTCCAGAACTTTCGATAATAATGGCAGAAGGCTTATAGGCCTCAAATCAGAGAGAGCTTCCGGCTTACTATTTTTGGGAACAGGTATTACTAAAGCATATTTACATGCTTGTGGAAAATAACCAATTTCCAAGCATACATTCAAAATATGTGTAACGTGGAATAAAACTCGAAGGAGACACAAAGTTAATATATCCAGACTCATATATATGATGAAGCAACTATCTAGAAGTATTTTATAGAAAAAATGAACAAAGTATAACCTTAAGACAGCTAAAGACCACAGATGAAAGGTTCGTTTTTTTAAAATTCAAGAAATAATTCAATATCTCAAAAACGGTGACACTTTTATATAGGTAAGTTTTTGTTATTTGGGAAGTCAGTTCAAAGCCTTAAGTTTGTCGAGGAACTGAGTTCAGCTACTTGACTCTATTTTTACGTCTAATTCGAATGATCTGCGATGGGCCGCCTCGAGTCATGCACTTTTTCCTGCAACACGCCGGCTGGTTGCACTCTGCAGGATGCCTAGTGTGCAGATTCGGCAACGTCGCATTCAGCGTAGTAAGCCGATGACTGCCGACCGGCTCCGTGCGGCGCGATCCTCCGGCCGGTCAGTTCCGCGTAGATAGTGTGAGAAAGCACGTGTCGTAGCTGCGAGAGTCGAGTTTAGCCGAGCCGACCCGACGTCTCTCTCTGTCACTCTGTCAACCCTCGTACAGAACCCCTAGTGTAGTAGTCGTAGTGCACAGTCGCCCCCAGTGTTAGTGTCAGTGCGCCATGGAGCCTCAGGGTCAAGAAATGGTTGCAGGAGGCAGTCCCGCAGAGGTGCCCAACGATCCAGGGTTAGTACCTGCCCCCACCACTCTCCCCACCCCTCGCAACACGCACATGGTGTGCACGCGTCACGCCCCCCTGCCGGGACACCGAGCTGACAGATGGCCTGCTATCATCCCATTTAGTTTTTTGGTTGTTCTTTAGGAATTTTCGGTGGTACTAAAAGCTCGATGGTGACAGATTTTCGGACTTCATTTCTTGTACGTCATGGACATCAACAGTTTCTCTAAATGTCAGGGAGCCTGTAGTCTTCAGATTGGTATTCGGACGTAGTTCATGATGTATTTAGTGCCTTGTGGGGCTGAGGCTCAATGGAAACAGATTTTTGGACTCAAAGTGTTTGAACTTTGTTCAGTATTGCAAGACAGCGGGCTGTCGGATGATCTGCAATTTTTAGATTCAAATTTTGGTCTGGTTTTTCTGACGATTTTGGGTTTTTGTGACATTAAAGCTCCATGGTGATATATTTTTGGACTTTGTCTCTTGGACTTATGTCACGTTGACTGATCGTATCGACACAGGTGCTCAAATGCAAGAGTTTGATCTTTCTTCAACATCACGGTGCTGTTTAGTAAAATAACATGGAGCGGACGTTTCGGTTCGTGTTTGTATTGGCAATCTGTATGAAACCACTAAAAGAAACATTAATTTGAAAATGGTCTGGTTAGGATATCTTCCGACAACCTCTAGCGACACTTTTTTACCATATTCTATTTTACATATGTTGTAGACTATGATGGGTGTACCCAGGATTTTATGTAGGGGGTGGGGGTAGAGCCCTCTGCGCAAGGGGGCGGTCTCCACCTATAGAGGGAGAGGTTATTAGCTGAGATAACCATTAATTATATGACAATTTAAAAAAATCGGGATTTTGAGATTATAATCGGTAAAAATAAATATTGTTAATGGAAAAGTATTTTTTTTATTAAAATTAAAGTTATTACAACAACATACTTTTTTGGCAATTTATGAGATTACACATCATATGAGGTCAAGATGTGAAACAACTAAAACATGCTTATTTTATACTTTATACTATTTGTTATTTCAGTTCACACAAAGTTTTAAAATTTAAACAGTTTTCCTTTTTTCCATTCTATTTCTATCTATGGTACCTACACAAGTTATTTAATAAACTGAAAGTTTCATAGTGAAGTGATTTTTAAACAGCGTAATTTTAATTTTCTCTAATATTAAATTTGCGATTTGTTATTGGTTGGGATAATCTGTATTTTGCCGGAACATTATGATCTCCAGACAAATCCCGACCTTCTGGCAACCTTAAAGGTGGAAGATCGCTGCCGTGTAGCGAGAAAACGGTTGTTAACTGGGTACGCTCTTGCTGGTGTATGACTGTGACTTGTCTAATGTCATAAAGTAGGGATGGATATCAGAAACTCTTTTTAGATAATCAATTGTCAACATATACACATGATATGGTTAAATATAACATTTATAGATTTTTCTTGAGGACTGGATGCCTTTTGAGGATTGATCTCTTTGCATTTTTGTTGTCTGTTACGTACCCGAACGCCACGGTAACTTGGCAACCATGCATATTTTGGCTACCAAAGTGACAGTGTTCTATCAACATAACAATAATACTTCCCGTAGGATTCTGATGTTCTTTATAAATTATGTAAGAAGTTTTGAATACGTCTAACACCATAATTGCTTGCAAACACTCGCGCTTTTAAAAATATAACACTAGAGTACGAATTGAATGACAGAACTGTCAAAAAATTGTCTTATGTCAGGTGTACCACAATGATAATAAGGAGATAAACAAATCCTTGACTGGCTCTTTCTACCTAGTCTGAATTTGTTGGCAATCATCATTTTGTTCAAAAATGTTCTTACGCAAGCTTCAGGAGAACAAAAAGGGAATCTATTGATGATGTATAGATAACGACCCGCAGTTAGAGGAAAACCTAGTAAATTTAAATTGCAAATGCCATAGATATATACGTATCCATACTAATATTCCAGGAGCTGCAATCATAAACGGTCAAACTCGAAAAGACCACGGATTACAGCCTACTTGCTTTGAAACAGAGCTCAAACAAAAGCTTAAGGAAATCATGAAGGAATTATCTAAACCAGAAACCTCATTTTAACTGCGGTTTTTTACATTGTCGTGCTGATTCCGAATCTGGTGTCAAAAATGGTGGTTGCTATTGGAATTTACGAAGTTGACTTCATAGTGGCCTCTTAGGTCATTGTATAAGTCATAAGTTCCTTTTTGATCTTCTGAAACTCTTGTAGAAACTTATTTTCGAAAAATGTGTGGTTGGCAAGTTTTTAGGTTGTTCGAATATTTAGTAGGCGCTTCCTGGAGGAACGTTCAATGGAGGATTTAACATTTGCATTTTGTCGTAGGCTGGAACAGTAATTGTCATCATAGGTTTTCACAATTTGGAAAGTTTTCTTATTCGAAAGATATAAAATTACATTTCAAGAATGAGTAATTCTGCGGAATCACTGCAGTGTATTTAATGTAACATTTCAATTTAGCAACAGCGTATGCCGTGATATGATCATATTTTGGTCCCAATTTTTTGATCTGGTATCTAAAAAGTTCCATAATAATCTTACAGTGTATACTCACTAAACTATTGTATTTTTGTTACAGAAAGATGTTCATCGGAGGACTTAGCTGGCAGACTAGTCCAGGTGAGTCGAAAGAAATCCATGTAGTGAAACTCGTAGTGAGATGAAGTTCTGATATTGAAGCAACGAACTGGCTATAACATAATTTTTGGACAGGAGAGGTATAGAACATCATTATAAGACATGAATGTAGTTGATAAGATTGAATCAGCTGACAGTTTTACTATAAAGCTTCTAAATTGAAGACCATGCTATTGCGTCGTGGTCTTTGTGATACCCAATATGATATCTGGACCAGTGGTGGTAACTATATGTAGAATAACCTATTCGCCTGGAGTGAAGTGCATAGAGGAGAAAAATGCGATGGACAAAAAGGCTACCATCATCGGACAGACAGTGGGATATAGGCGTGGTCACTATGGTGAAATCTGTGTCATGTAGGGTACAACTGAGGCATGGCACAGGTGTAAGTAATTCGCTTGTCATCATTTGACAAATATTCCTAAACTCAAATCAACTAAATGTCTGTCATTTTAATTAGTGTCGGTTCATACTGCACGTATAAAGCACAAATCTTTCGCACAACCGGCAAATAGAAGACGGAAGATCGTTTGTTGAACTTATGTGTAGGTATTGTGTATATGCTCTACTGTAAGTAAGCTATTAGTCCGGCAATATCTTAGCATCTGACGGAAAAATATTATGATTCGGGCTTTTTGCATAATTTCATTCAAAAACGCGTCATACGTCGAAAAACAATATGAAAAAACAAAAGCTTCAACGTTGCCAATGTTCCTAAATATTCTTCAAGCCATCATTAATAAAATCCCAAAACAGCTGAGGAGGTATTTTTATTGCAAACCTTTGTTTTTAATTGTTAACCAAGCGTGTCCTTAGTGTATGCTCTGCGTCAGTACAAGAGAGATGCAACATGTATCTACGAGTAGTGGTGGACGCCAGCTGTGGCAGATAACCATTGAGAGATTTTTACAATAACAATAAAATGCTTTAGGATTTTGTTAATGGATATTTGAAAAATATTATCATTATAATCATTGCTAACACTCGAATTTTCATTTTTTGATATTGTTTTTCAGTGTCGAAAATAGCATATTTCGGAAGTTTTCATAATATTGTATCGCTTATATCTCGAAAACTATCAACTTTGGAGAAAAGTTTTGGACCATCTTTTTTTTTGAAGAATATTCAAAATAACCAAAACGCACTTTGGCCAGAGCGAAATAAAAAATTGTTTTAAAAAATCTTAACGCAAATGTAGGCCTGGAAACATGCAGTGCCGTTAAAAGAAGCCATTTTTGAATAAGATTGTGTAAAAAAAATCGAATTATAATGTTTTCCCATCATATGCGAAGATATTGCTCGGGCTATATCATTTGACACATCTCGCACACCAAAATCGTTGTGTTAGCTTGTTCTAGGAACATCTTCAACAAATACCATGTCAGCTTGATATCAGCTCCAGGACAACTTGTTAATAAGAAAAAATTGTTAGCATGTTTTGAAATTGATTCTAATTATAATATATTTACAGATTAGGAATTTTTGAAACAGAACATTCTTGATAAACAGAATAAAAACAATATGAATATGCTAATGGAGGGTTATCTGGGAAGCTAGGAGTAGATAGCGCTAGTTAGGTTGGCGGTCATGTCTAAGGTTATAAACAGTTTAAGGCGAGGTTCTCGGGATATTTGCGAAGAAGAAAAGGGAGTTGTCAGTTTGTAATTAAAAGTTTCCTAACCTCGCCTTAATCTATCAAATTTGTCTTTTTCTCATCTATATTGTACAGGGTGCGTTCGTAAACCACTTGGTAATGTAACACCGTATACAGTAATGGTATGTAAATTGAAAGATAAAATTTTACTCCGGAATACCGGGTTAACTTTATTTTTAGAACGCCTAATGAGCCGACTAATTTCTAACCACGTCTTCTGCGACACTTGTTTTTATTATACGAAACGCTGTGGATACGAGGTATCCCATTTATCCTGGAAAATATATTATATTCTGCCATATTTGACTGCTTTGATAGCCAGATGGAGTAAACAAACTAACAATTGACTGTGAGAACGGCATCCTTCCCAAGGTTTTAAAGTTCCAGAAGGATTACTTTGTTCTACGCATGGAATAGGTATTTGAAACAATTGCGAAAACTGAAGTTGTTACAGGGTAGTACAAAGTACACCTAATAATTTGTGAACGCAGTCCGGTTTCACCTCCTACCACACTAGTGCCCATCGGGAGCAATATTGGATATCGAGACTATGTAGTACCCCGTATAGGATGGATGTCTAATATTTTCATGGGTATAGTCATGTTTCCGCTGTGTTTGCTAACCAGTTGCTTGCACTCCAGTAGGTACAGTTTTTTGCATCACGTATTATCAATTGAAATTACCCTGCTTATACAATAATAATTATAACTTATGATTTGTGTTTTCATGTTATTTGTAATTTCTAAATTTACTGCATTAGAATGTGATGTGTCAAATACGTTTATAAAATCTGACTATCCAAATAAACTTATGACAATTGAAAATAGAGTCAGTAAATAATTCACCCATGAAAATCAAGTATCCTTGTGATATCTCCTGCTTGTGATAGATGTTGGATCAGATAACTCATTACAAAGTGAGCAGAATAGAAAATTTGATCAGATTCTTCTGTGAGAATGGTCCCAGGGGCATAATGCATACCTGAGTACATTTGCCCCAAAATACATTGTTCTGTTTGATGATAAGTTGGCTAGTCTGATGCTACCCCGGGTGTTACCTTGGATTATGGATTTGTTGTGTAAGAAAGATAAGATAACCACCAAATGAGTCAACTTTGGACTAAATACCGCAGGGAAATTCCATAAAATGTATACATTTTCTCGTCTGTTAAATCAGTTCTATGCAGGATAAATTAACAGTCATGTTTAATTATGAAAGAAATTGCTTTTCTGACATCTTGCTGATAAGGCGAACATGTAGATGCAGTAAGTGGTATTCATTTTGAATGATGCTACCCATCATAATCAAATGCGACAGGTATGGCAATGATGAGACAAATAGTGTATTAATATCATACTTGTAAATGAAATAACTGGCACCAAAAGTTCTTCAAGCTTTCTGTTCATAGGAGCTGTAAAAGCTTATAATGATGAAAGTCTATTAGCTGTTGGTTACAACTAAACATTTTTACAGCCGCTATATCTGGACTTCATTATTTATATCTCAAAGTCTGCAGGATAACTGTCCCTAGTAACGACGCTTTGCCATGAAGGCGGAAGAATGAGGAGCAGAAAGAACTAGCAAAGAATCCGAAGCATTTTCATTAAAAAAGAGACCGTGGACGAAAACGTTTTATTTACGTAACAAGACGCGCTGATGGATGCACAGATACAATGGGGTTTATGCAGGTTTCAGTACGAGGAGCTGCATTATCTGATGCTTATTTTCAGTGGCGTTCTGAAAATTTTACAGCTGAATCTTTATACCGGGTGTTTCAAATTCAAGCCTCATCATTGTGATACGAAGTCGCCAAGATGCTTATTTGGGTAACTAACATATTGCCGCTTAGGAAGTTTCGAAATTGAAATTACTTCCGGAGATAAACGAAAAAAAAAAAAACGAAATTTCCCAAAATCGTTTTAATTTTTCCTGACTTCAGTTGAAGCGGAATTTCAAAAGAAATGGCACATTATTATTTCCAATTTTTCTTCTCCACAAGATAGCATAATTAGAATTTCAATATTACGTTTTGCCTATTGTCCTCCAACATCAACTTTACTTTTTCTCAAGGATGTCAAATTTGATTTTTGTACAGGTGAATAGAGTTTGTAATACTGATTTCAAAATGTATAATATATGTCATACATTGACATCGCCAAACTTTATATATATACATGTATATATACAGGGTGTTCCATAATTATTGCGACAAAATGATAGGGGTTGTAGAGGGCATAAAAATATGCAATTTTGCCTTATAAACCCCTGTTCGTAAATATGCCGTTTGAGCACTACAGTTAATTTTACCTTAAGAGCTCATAGGAGAAACAAAAAATTCACCAGCTGCAAAATGTTCGTCTAGCACATTTCATGGTCTCACCGGTTTGTAAAAAAAGCCTGCTATGTTTACATTTTTGTTATCGTACACCCGTACCACCTTTTAAAAGTCCAAGCCATGGGTCCAGCAGACTATCTGCCGCGTCGACGTTTTTGCCGTTGGTGGCTGCAGCAGGAGTTGAGGCAACCAAACTTTGGTCGCTACGTTTTGTTCACTGACGAGTCCTGTTTTACAAAGGACGGTTATTTTAATAGCCATAACAGTCACATTTGGGATGAAGAAAACCCTCATGCCATAGCCATCCATAGAGACCAACATCAGTTTTCAATTAACATCTGGTGCGGCATTGTGGACGAGCATATCATCGGGCCATATCTGCTTCCACCACGTTTGGATGGGCATGCTTATGGTCGATCCTTACAGCATGTGCTACCGGAACTATTACAAAATGTGCCACTGAATATAAGAGCCAACATGTGGTTTCAACACCATGGCGGTCCAGCCCACTTTTCTTTACAAGTGCGGCAGTATTTGGACGACAAATTTCCAAATAGGTGGATAGACCGAGGTGGCCCTGTGCCTTGGCCTGCGCGGTCACTTGACCTGACCCCACTGGATTATTTTATCTGGAGCTATCTGAAAGCTTTAGTGTACGAAACTCCTGTTCCCAACCAACAAGAGCTACTGGGAAGAGTGATGGCCGCGTCCGCACATGTTCAGGACATACCGGGGGTATGCCACAGAGTTCGCCGATCATAGAACAATCGTGCACAGCTATGTATTGAGCAAGGTGGAGGACACTTTGAGCAATTACTGTAGGTAAGCTGTTTCAAGAAACTGATCTTTTTTTTTTGCTGCAGCCCAAATGGCATATTTCCGAACAGGGGTTTATAAGGAAAAATTGTTCATTTTGATGCCCTCTACAACCCCTATCATTTTGTCGCAATAATTATGGAACACCCTGTATACATACATAGCTCTACAGGCCTGAAATGCCCAAGTCTTTCTTTGTAATTTCTTTCCATTTCTTCTTATTTTGACACATGCATTTCCAGTTTTGTACACCTAAGCTTCTCATATCAGCTTCT